GGGTGGAGGGGGAGGGACAGGGCCTTGAAGATGCATCTGGGGAATTAGGCAGAAGCCAATTCATATAGCACCTTATGTCTCAGGCCTACCACGCTCAGGAATTTTGACTTTTCCTAAAAGATAATAGGTGGGTGGGGAGGAAGGAGAATTTGAATTATACATGCATTTATTTATTTATTTTTTCTTATTTAAGACAGGATCTAGCTGTATTGTGCAGTTCGGCCCCCAACTCTGGGGCTCAAGTGACCCTCCCACCTTAGCCTCCTAAGTAGCTGGGACTACAGGTGCCAGTCAGAGGGCGTGGCTATTTGATAAAGATCACTTTGTCACTTTGGCTGTCCTGTATTTAAAAATCTCTTTAAGCAACATGATTTAGAGCTGCTCTATCAGCATGATCTTACGATCTTATGAACCTGGACCGTTCAGGATGGACCTCACACTCTGATCTTTCCTTCCAATTTTAGATCTTTCCTTCAGATTCCTAAATACTATTTTGGTAAACACTTTACAGACTAAATTAGGCAGAATAAACTATGGCGATTCTTTTTCCTGATTAAATCCGATGCTCAGTAGTTCTCTCATCCTCAGAGAAGCCAGGATCTCAGGCTGCAGGTCATGCCCTGTGCAAGTCCAGGGGAGCTGTTGACATGAGCAACAAAGCGGGTGGCTGCCTCATCAGCTGTGCGATGCTGAGCCCCTGGGAGGAGGAGCCGGTCGAGTTTATGTGGTCTATGTCCCCTCTCCCATCACTACGAAGAAAGACAGCTGCAAAGTCCTGTTTTTTAAGGCCTCCAGGCAATGAAATCGACAATGGTTTCAAAGTTGATATTTAATAACCCTCATTATTATCAAGTTATTTTTTATGGAAATAGGACATATTTTTCTAATTGTAGTCTACCGTGTTCTCTGGCTTTATCATCTTTTGAGAAGGTCAGCTGACTAATCTTTATTTTATCCATAGCCCCTAATGTTATCAATGCTAATTAATCACCATAGTTTCCTCTTTTCCAGTCTAAATAGTCCTAGCTCTTTGATGTACCTTCAAAGGTCCAATTTTCCAATCCTTTGTATCTTGATCTTTTATAAAACAGCTTCCCATGTTGCACAGAATTTAATAACAAAAGCAAGGATATGTGAAGCCTATAGTGGTAGAATTATGCTCTGAGTCTGGAAAATAACAATTCTGCAAACATAAGCCAGTGACGCCATCCTCTTTTTGATCACGCTAGATTCATAATTTTGTTCTACTTTTACCCTATTATAAATCCCCCTTTCAAAATCACTGTAGATGGAGATCATACATGAGAGATATAATTGCATTTGAAAAGGGTAGTCCTTTCATTTTCTGCTGCTGTAGCAGACACTGTTAGTTGCTACTGCAGTGACAGTATTCCTTCTTTTTCCTGGTTTCCAACGCCCAGCTTTTGTTCAATGGTCTCTTCCTGGGATGCGGACACCTCCCAGCCCCGGAGGGTGCATCTCTTTTAGTGTAAATCAGCCATCTCCTTCCTCATACTCAATGGAACCAGGAGCTTGGGACCCAATCCCAGACAATGGTAGTGAGGCACAGGCAGCTGGTGGTGGGGTGGCTCTGGGGTCATTTGCATCACTCCAGAAAGACACCCAAGGAAGAGACCCTGTCTTCGCTGGACGTTATTATGAGATGATCTGCCGCCGGGAGCTGCTGCAACCATCTTATAAACACAGGGGGCCAGTGTGAGAAATGAAAGCAAAGATCGGGAGGATGGCTGAGTAGAAAGAAGAAGAGATCCAGGGCTTCTGTGCACGCCACTTAGCTGCCTAATTAACCAGCCCTGGGCTTCCTGTTGTGTGAGTTAATACATCCCTTCGCAATTTAGTGATTTTCATTGTGTGGTCCCAGATCAGCATCAGCAGCATCTGGAAATTTTTAGAAATGCAAATTCTGGGGCCCTACCCCAGACTTGCTGAGAAGAGTTGAGGAGTGGAGTCCAGCAATCTGTTTTTAACAAGCCCTCCAGATAATTCTAAGAAGTCCTGAAGTTTGAGAACTACTGCTCTGGGCTTGCTATAGTCTAAATGTCTGTGTTCTCCCACCACTCACATATTAACATTTGAATCTCCAAAGTGACGGTATTAGAAGGTGGGGGTCTTTCGGAAGTGATTCAGTCATGAGGTCAGAGCTCTCATGAACAGGATTAGTACCCTTATGAAAGGGACCCCAGAGAGCTAGGTCACCCCTTCTATCATGGGAGGGCACTGAGAAAGTGCCGTCTATGAACCAGGCAGCAGGCCCTCACCAGACATCACATTATAGCAGCTTGTTCTTGGACTTCTCAGCCTCCAGAATTGTGAGGAAAAAAAAAATACTACTGTCTATAAGCTACCCAGTGTACGACTTCCATTACAGCAGCTCAGATCAGCTAAGAGCCATTGAATTGGGGTTTCAATTACTTGCAGCTAAACACATGTTAATACATACATCTCCCTTTACTGTTTTATGCATCTTTTCTAGAAAAATCTATCAATCGGTATGTTTTCTGTCAATGTCATCTGAGAGTTAACAGTATCATAGCCAGAAAGGTCTGGAGAGATACAAGCATGTTGTACAGTCTCTGATATGTGTTTGACACACCCAGACAGGTTGCAAAACAGTTGAGGGTAGGTTTCTTGGGGTGTAAGTAATTTTCATAAAAATTTAGAATTTTTTGAGTTCCAACGTGAAAGGAGAGGATTTTGAAATGGAGAAAAAGAAAACTTCAGAGGCACAAACTCAGGCAGAGCTCCTGTCAGAGGAACCAAGTGCCTAAAATAGGACAGAGAGTTTCCAGATGCAGCGGAGAGGCTGTGAGTAATCTGAGAGCTCAGGTAGGAAAGTGGGACCAGTGTGAAATGAAGGAGGCACTAACGATAAGCAGACAAGAAACCATCAAATTGCTATTTAGGGTCACTGGGATCTGCAGAGGGAAACGAGGCTGAAGAGACAAGAGGAAAGACACGGCTGTGAGGGTCGAAATCTAAAAGAAACTCCTAAAGGGACGCTTAATGTTTTCAAGCTATCCACTGCGGCATGCTAGGTCTATCATCTGTGTATCATCGCCAAAGCAAGAACCATAAACATCAGATTTCACTCGGTTATAGAAATCAGAGAAAAACTGCTGGGGCAATGACAGGGAAGAGACACTGCACATTCTCAGTGGAGGAATCATCCGCTCTGTCCTTCAACTGGTGCCATCCAAAAGTTGCTATGTCAAGTAATGCTAGCTTCACTCAAATGCTATTACCCCTGGTTATCTCACAACTCACAGTAATGAACAACCCGTCTAACCTGTGAAGCAATGCTTAAGGAAGGTTTGAGGAAGGACGAGCTGCAGATCAGCTCAAGGATGGGACTCAAATATCATGACAGTACCATGAGCTAAGGTGCCTCCTGCAAGCTGCCTGTTGAGGCCATCAGTGGGTTAGAACCAAATTCTTCCAAAATTATTGCAGTCTGCAGTCATCATATCTTGTCATGTAATACTTAACATTCTGGAAAAGGCCCTGCATTGGTTCTGAGTAATATTTCCAGGATCTGTGGACCTTTGAAACAACTCCATGTCACTGTACTTTATCCATGGTGGCTCTTTCGGGCGAATCACTTGTCCATTCCTGCCTTAGATGAGGCCTGTGGAATGACTGCATCATTTGCCCTTTCGTTGTTAAAATGGTTATCAGATTTTAGGTATATCAAGCCTTGCAGATCAGGCCTCTTACAGGCTCCCCCAGAACAAACCATCCAGGCACAAACAGGGGATGCAGCACGTGGCCATGCCACCACGGGTTTCCACACCACGGTGTGAGCTCATCTTGCTGACTTAAAAACCATCATTTAAAAGTCACCTTTCCAAATTGCACTGATTTTATTTGTTCAAAAGATAACACGCACGTTATTACATGACTATCATTTTAGGGCAAAGTGGATATATGGACAAATGTTTCAAGCAAGGAGGTAAACTGTCCTGGATAAAAATTCACGGCATCAGTTTTATATTTTCTGCTTCCTGAATTGCATTTTCCTGGATCTGATGATTTTGTTCTTTGTATTCTTGATGTATGCCTCAGTGTATCTTCTTCTGTGTATGTGTCATGGAGGGAGCATTCTTTTTTTTTTTTTTTTTTTTTTTTTTTTTGAGGTAGAGTTTCGCTCCTTGCCCAGGTTGGAGTGCAAAGGCGTGATCTTGGCTCATGGTAACCTCCGCCTCCGAGGTTCAAGCGATTCTCCTGCCTCAGCCACCCAAGTAGCTGGGATTACAGCCTTGTGCCACTGTGCCCGGCTAATTCTGTATTTTTAGTAGAGACAGGGTTTCTCCATGTTGGTTAGGCTTGTCTTGAACTCCCAACCTCAGGTGATCTGCCTGCCTCGGCCTCCCAAAGTGCCGGCCAGGGGCGGCCAGGTGCGTGAGTGACCGCGCCTGGCTGGAGGAAGCATTCTTAATGTATGCATTGGTACATCTTCTTCTGTGTGCATGTCACGGAGGGAGCATTCCTGATGTACACATTGGTGTATCTTCTGTGTGCACATCAGGAAGGGAGCACTAAGCAGAGGTGCATAAGCAGATTCTGGACTGCAGAGCTGGGGAGTGGTCCTGGTTTTACCACTCACGGACTGCATGCTCTCAGACAAGTCTCTTAGCATTTTTGTACCTCGGGCTCCTCCTCTGCAGAATGAGGATGGCAATTCCTACCTCCTAAGATTGTCATGAGCTAGAAAGAAGTTAATATTTGTCATGCATTTAGAATAGCCTCTGTGTTTTGTAAATAGAATATTCTTTTTTGTTGTTATAACACATTTGTTTTTCATAAATGTTGTTATCTGGCAGGTATTTTTTGGCTTCCAGAATAAAAGTTTTAAAATTAAAAGGTATCAAAGTATTTTTAGGAGCCTAGTTATTTCCTCAACTACTCCCGTTTAAACTCTAAAAGTAGACTGGCTTTACGTTAAACAGAGAATTCATACAGAAAAAATCTTCAGGACTGTATTCATTTCATAAATAATGTACTTTATTTTATTGCATATGGCTATTAAGGAGGGCATCCATGATCAATACAGACTAAATACAATGCACTATTCTAGTCCAGTTTATTCTCGTCTCCAGCAGCATCACATTGACCCCTATATACAGCGTGTACAGTGGAAGACAGAGCAAGATAAGTTAAGTCTCTTGTCATATCACAATAGCAAGAAATATATTTAACATCTTGATATCCAGAAACAATACGTACCCAAAAAGAAAACACTGTTTAATAACTGTTAAAGTTTATATAGCAAAAAATATTTTAAATTTAAGGTAAGTCAGGCAAAATGTACAAAGACCCAATATACATTGTGAAGTTTTAGCAAACATAACATTTATACATTTTGGTTCCATTCTGTAAACTAAATTAAAAATGTAAATATTGCATATGCCTTTTTTTGAAATGTACAGGATAGAGGAAAATTTAGTATATTATCATCTGTGTATTTTGCTTGTTTTAAGCTGCAGTATGAACATGAACCATCTGTATAGTGTCATGACTACTCTAAGGAGAGAGGGCGAGTTAAATATGCGTCAATACACCGCATTCAGCAGGGTCCATGTTCAGTCCCTATCGTACCTGGGGGGAGTTACAAAGCAAATACCACCCATCGATGCCTATTCCCAAAACTAAATAAAAACTTCAGGATGTTTTATACATCTTAATAAAGTACATCATACACTGAAATTGACCTTCCAGCTAACATTGTATGGCCTAGGCGCTGCTGTGATGTATAATTTCAGAAAAGTAAAACCTTAAAAATGTTCAGGGAGATCACTTTACATTCAACTTTGTCTTGCAATACAATCCTCTGTTCTAAAGTTCAGCACGGAAGCAGGAAGACTTTTGCATTGCCATTAAATATATTTTTAAGACATTGAAATTTTTGGTCTTCCTCTAAAAAAGCCTCATTTTATTAATGCATTATTCTATAGTGATATATATCTATATATTTATATATATTTTTCTCAAAACAAAACAAAACGAAACCAACAACTTACATCTCCAATGAATGAGTGTAACCTCTCCATGACTATCAGAGAAGATAGGCACTGGGGAAGCCCCCACGGGAGGAGAGGTCGACAGCCCTCCAATTGAGTGTCGACGGAGCAGAAAACGGCAGATCATTCTGCCGGTCAAGTTCAGCGGTTTTAGGTAACGTCTGCGAGAACTGCCACAACACTGGTATTTTCAGAATACTGAAAACATAAAACAAGGGTAGTCTTGTCAGGAATTTTTTCGACAAGTAACATGTACTGCGAGATTGCTTTTCTTCTTTTTCTTTTTCCATCAGCAACATAGGGGCTGGAATGCCTCTTTTTATCAGTTTCTTTCTTTCCTTTTCTTTTTTTCTTTTCGTTTTTTGTTCAGGGCAGCCTCACTGGTTGACATAATAACATTTTATGAAAGATAATACATTTTTTAAAAAATTAAATCTGCCACACCCGGACCACCCTGGAATTGCTAGCACACCTACAGGGATTTTTGGTTACAGAAAGGCATGCCCAAGATTCAGGAGAGCAGAGACATCTGAGCTTGTAAATAGAATAAAAGGCGTTTGCAATGTGAAGTACCTACATAAACATCTACATCGAGAAGATTAAACAAGTCTATTAAAGGTAAAAAGAGATACTCATCCCCTTCCCAAAGCCCTTCCCTCCCACCCCCCCACTACCCAATACAGTTGATTTGTTTCAAAAGTAGGTTGCTTCAGTTACATATAGTAATTATTATTTTGTAATCCGTCTTTAAAGTCCAATCCCAAATTTCACTTCCATCGAGAAATGTCAGTCCCACACTGGGCTCGGTGTGGACGTAAACATGGCAGGTACCTGCACTGGAATCCAACAAGCAGCTGTCTATACTTGGACCATTTCACTAAGGCCGAGGACCGCGCTCCAGACACACAGCGCAGGGGCTACTACAGGAGGTCCTGTTGGACCCCTGCCACGGAAATCCGGCTTTACCTTGAACTGAGGTAGGACTGTGGTCGTTTTGAGTGTAAGCCAGTAAATACCAGATTTTACCACTTTCATAGGTGTGGGTGCACTCTCCTAGCATGCTGAGGGTTACATCTGCTTTGCCAAAAGGAAAAGAGGAAATTAAGACACCGGCCACAATTTAAGAAGGCCAATGAAAACATCCAATTTTCTTGAGAATAACTTCTTCAGCTAATTTTGTTAAAACAAAACAAAACAAAACGCAAACAGCACAATGACGAATGCCCCATCCGGGAACAAGGGAGAGAGGCAGGTGACCTTGCCTTGTTAGTGCCTCATCTAACAGAGTCCACAGATGTTTCCAAACATAGTCATTGCTCAGATCCAAAAGAAAACTGTAAGCAGCTTCGGGCTGAAACAATGCTGAGCATCTTCTTTTAATGACATTCTCTGACGTGTGACATCCTGGTGATAAAGCCAGACAGATCTTCACTCTGAAAAAGGAAGGAGGGAAGTTAGCAGAGATCCTCAGGAGAAAAGAGCAATCTCTGGAGTTCCAGAAAAAGCCCCTCTAACTCACGGCTAAGACCTGGGTTATTTTCATAAACTGATGCCCTTTGAGAAAGAAACACGTATTCATTCTGTTTTCCAGAAGTGAGTTCGGTGGGAAAACTCTGAGTTTTCCTGGAAGCAGAGCTGTTAGGTTCACGGTGAGTTGTCTATACAGTGAGGTTCATGTTTTCAATTTAAGAAAAATATTCACACGTGTTTTTGTGAATCATTCTGTCGAACAAGATAGAAAAAGAAGGGCCAGTTCCCAGGTGCCACTGCGTGTCTGTGTGATGGAATGACCCCTTTAACTCCTTAGGCCTTGATGCTCCCTGTGTTGTGTGGGATACACAGAATCCACTACCTTCCTCCCAGGGCTGCAGAGATGAAAAACCATGACACACGTTACAATGCTCTGTAAACTATGTTTATCCTACAAATGTGCATTACGTTATGAAAGTGGAATAACTAAGAACTCCACACTTCTGTCCTCAGAAAACTTCCAACTGGATCATCCATCTCTTTTTGAACGTGTCCAGCAATGGAAGGCTCCTGCACTGTCTCACGTGTGGTTGCATAACCCTCAACATTAGGAAAGGGTTATTTTTATCCACTCAACTTTCATATGTTCCAGTTTAGGTAATTTACCCTTTCGCTGTGCTCAGAGGGGACAGGGACTGAGGACACTTGGCCAGATCTAACTGCTTCCTCCCTTCCAGGATGAAGGATCAAAATTCTTTAACCTTTCTCAATTTCCAGGGTTTTAGGCCTATTTTTACTTGATATATTCCTTCTTCAAGGGACAGAACAAATCGGAAGATTCTGACCTTTCACAGCGTGTTGTTTTTTTCCTTCGAAGCTTCTTGGCTTTTTAACCAAAATGACATACTGTTCATTTTGATCACTCAGTTCCATGATGGCGAGCACTGCTTTGCTCTCAAACAGGTACATTTCCTTCCTTTGCAGATGCATTTATACAAACTGCATTTCTGGACACTCTTCTAAAATCATTTAGAATTTTGATCCTAGACTCTTTACCATACTCCCTGACTTACTTTTTTGTGAATCAAATTCTTTTCTATCCATCTTAAGTTTAGAAGACTGAACTCAACAAGACAGAAACTTCCAGTGTGCCCTGAAGCTGAGTGAGTCCCTCAAAACCACATCTCCTTAGGAACTCGAGGCACTACGCTCTATAGCCCCCCAAAAGCTTTACAGAAAAAATACTTGTCAATATACGAGGTATACATTTTTAAATTCCCTACAATGCGACATTCTGAGGCTGTTTTTACTCTATCTTATTTATCATTATTATTTTTTAAGATGGAGTCTCATTCTGTCACCCAGGCTGGAGTGCCGTGGCATGATCTTGGCTCACTGCAACCTTCGCCTCCCAGGTTTGAGCAATGTTCGTGTCTCAGCCTCCCGAGTAGCTGGGATTACAGGTGCGTGCCACCAGGCCTGACTCATTTTTATATTTTTAGTAGAGATGGGGTTTCACCATGCTGGCCAGGCTGGTCTTGAACTCCTGACCTCAGGTGATCCACCCACTTAGGCCTCCCAAAGTGTTGGGATTACAGGAGTGGGTCACCGCGGCCGGCCTATCTTACTATTTTTATAAAGCTTATGTCTATTAGAAATTTAATAAGTAAACAATGTTCTGCCAATGAACCTTAACAGAATTAATTTCTTCCTAAGGAAAGATCTGTCTTTGAGTTATCTGATTCATTATTGTTGTGATTTTCAATCCCAGGAGACTTCAGTGAGAATCTAATTGTATCCCCTAAAAAAAAGCAGGCATTTGCTAACATACACCTTGACTTGTAATTCACTCTAAAACGAGCTTGCATTTTGTCCCCGAGGCCCTGATTTGGGAAGAATCCCATGGCCACCATAAAGCAGGTAACTGAGAGTCTGCAAATCCATTGACAGAAAGATTTCTAATCAATTGCTTATTTTATTTTGACACTAACAATTAGCTAAATGTGGGTGAATTATCCATGTTAACTCTAAGTCTGTTATTTTGAAAACAACTAAACAAGTAAGTTCTTCAGCTTCTCAAACTTAAGTACTTTGTCGTATAAATGGCAGATAAATTATTGCTGGAAAAAATCACTTTCCATTTTCATTTGTGATTTCATGAGGCCACTGACATTTTCATTGTTTTTTTAGGATGCTGTATCGCTGTAAAACTCAATTCTTATCATTACATCTCTTTGCGAGCTCTAATTAAGTTGAACATGTAATTTTATTTTTTGGAAGTAGAATATAGTTATCAAAACGTTAATTTCTAAGCATTAGCATTATGCAAGAAAAGAGCTGATAAATGGCAAGGAAATAATTCATCCATGCATTTATTCATGCAATGACCTTTCAACAATTTTCTTTTTTTAATTCTACGCTGGTGCAGGGCCTCACTGATAACTTGGAGGAAGATGGCTGACAAAAAAAAAAAAAAGGGTAAGGGGAAAGGGAAGGGCAAGGGGAAGGGGAAGAGGAAGGGGAAGGAAAGGAAAAAAAAGGAAAGAAAAAAAAGAGGGAGGGGAAGGGGAAGAGGAGAGAGAAGGGGAAGAGGAAGGGGAAGGAGAAGGGAGGAAGGAAGGGTTATTACAGGAAGATGAACCTGTTAATGGCACACTCAAAGGACGCAAGAGAGCTGAGGTGAGGGAGATCAGAAATAGGATGACCGCCCGCTCAGAGCCAGTCGTGGGGGCGTCGGCTGTGCAGCGTTTCACATCCGTCTGCATGCACACGCGTGTTACCAGAGCAAGCACAACGTGCATGTGTCTTGCCTAGCCTGCCTCCTGTTGGTTAAAATACAATCGCTTTCTACGGCCGCCTTTCACGGTAAAGCAAGAACTGTGGTCTGGGTGTGCTCAGCGGGCACAGGCCTGAGTTCCTGCCCCTCAGCACCCTGCCTCTCACAGACCTGCTTGTTTAGACATCCCCCCACCCCAGGAGGCCACAGCTGATTCCAGGTGACCCTTAGGGATGCCTGGAAGCACTCACGGTGATTTAAACAGAATTAACCAGCAGAAACAATCCTTTGTGGAGGTGCCAAAGGGCAGTGAGGAAAAGGCTGGAGCACACCTCAGATTGGACCCTGCCCGCCGCAGCAGAGGAACTGGGATACAACGGAGACCTAAGAAGCATCAGTACTAAGAATGCATGGTGGCAAAAAGGGATCTTTTTTGAAACCCAAAGTATAGTTCTTATTCATTTGTTAGAGAAAGAAGGCTTAAGACAGAAGCCATCTGCCTGAACTGATGTCTCAAATACCTTTTTCCAATTGAGCCGGTGGTAGAATCTTTGCCACGCATATTATTAAAGGCCCCACAGGCATAGGCCTAAAATGATTAACACGGGCAATGGCTCAGGAAGGCTCTCTGTAGTTCACACACAGCTTTCAGACGCCAAACACCAAGAGCTAGTGCCCCTGGTTGAAGCCACCGCGGAAACACGATACCTGCCATCCACCTGACAGCCACCCACTCATCAGTGACACTCCCCTACCCGAGGAAGAAGAAAGCTGGAAAACACTCTTGTAGATTCAAACCTAGGAATGAGAGTAAACGTTTGCCTTTATAGTCATTTACTTTCAAAGTAACCGAAGTTAACCCTCACCCTGTAAATCGGCCTGGTTCATCCCGACTAGGGAAAAAAAATACGCTAACAATTTTCTAACACTAATCATCTGACATCCTCAAGCTTTACATATGATCAAACTTCAGGCTTCCTGAAGATGAGATTCCAACAAAAATTTATTTATTGTATTATCTGTGTTAATTTTAGTAGAAGCAAAGAATTATTAATTTTGTGGCTGTTCTACCCTGAACATTCACTAAGAAGGGAGACATTTTCAGAAACTATCAGCTGTAATGGCAAAACCAAAAAGAAAACAGTAAGACTCACGTGTTGCTCATGAACCCAATGACAGAACACCACACACCAGTTCTGCCACTACAGGTAACGTAGATACAAAAATGTAAACTTACTGACACTCGCTGAATTTGTCACACTATTCATTACACACTGTGCTACTCTGTCCCTTAGACGTTGCTTTGTAAAGAAATCCATCCACAGACGTATCCATGCAGAGTTATTTGAGCAAATAAACAAAATCAACAAACAAAAACCCTTTTAGCAGAGATGAGAGTGTTCCACAGGACCTGTCATGCAGTGTGGCCACTCCGCATTTCCTTTCTGCTGTCACTTGTGACAAATGACATTCATACGTGGGATACAGTCCCCTGTGCCACTCACCATAATGCCCTGCAGATGGGCAATAATTCCTCCCCTTTTCTCCTCCACTTGAAAGAGCAATCAGAATGCAAATGAAGGAGAGCTGTCAGTAAAAGCTCCACCTTCAAACTGCTCAACTTGACTCTCCCAAAAGAGAGAAAGGAGAAAACGAACCACTAGAAAACATTGTGATTACAAGGAGGAAAGCTTCCTTATAATATATGGAACAATGTCCCAACAATGACATGTCACGCGGAGCTGGGCACCATGACTGCAATCACATTACAGAAAACTGAAGTGGGTATCAAGCCTAGAACATGTTGGAAATAAGGTCAATTTGCTCCAGCCAATAACATCAGGCAGCATTTTAGGCACACGGTCTGACTCACCAATCCTTTTTCTTCATGATTTCTCATGACAGTTTGGGTTTGGACGTGTTTGCCTCCAACGTCACATTTCCAAGTTCAAAATCCAGGATATACACCGGGGTCATGGCAGCTCTGCCCAGGGAGGCCCTAGTCCTCTCTGCAGAGAGGCTGTGGGACATGGGGCCTCACAGGCCTTTGGGGAGCAACACTGGACCGCCCAGGGGCCAGATTCATGGAGTAGATGCAGATGCTTTCCCATTTTCAGCCGTAGCTGAATTAGGAGTGTTACAAATACTGATGTGCTTGACAAAATGAAACCATACACTTCTTAAAAT